GGCGCTGTAGCTCAAGTGGTAGAAGAGCTGAGGGACAGCGCCCAGGCCCAGAGTTCAAGCCCCACGACCTACCCCCCCCCCCAAAAAAAAAGGATTTTGTATAACATTCTAAACAAAAACAATTGATTTTACTGCTAAATTATTCACAAAAGACTGAAATTTTCCTAAACATAATTGTCCACAAAACATAATAGTACATTTAGTAATATAGAAACACGATATCAAAATACTTGCACTTCTAAGTGGTAATGAAACTAACTTGATTGAAATACAGCCAAACTACTCCTAGTTTGAAAGGTTAAATAATGTTAAAATATATTTTTGAAAATATAGTCTGCATAACTATAAATTCCTATTATTGTTTTCCTAATTCTCAGAAAGATTTCTGGAAGGTTGATTGTGGTTTAAATTCATATAAATCTACAAATACTATTCTTCAAACTTCAAGTGCACATACAAATCACCTAAGTGGCTTATGAAAATTTAGATTTAGTTTCAATAAACTGGGATGGAAAAGATACATATTTTTTTCTCTCATACTCTTAGTTGAAACAACATTGTTTGCTCATAGACCACTTTAGAGTAATGAGGTGGTAAGCCATAATACAATTCATTACCATGTTTAATGTTTGTCATTATCAGTGACCTATGTGTTTCTTTAAGGATACTCCGGAGCCTTTCAAATGTCATTGGTAACAAGGTATGTAGTTGTCAAACAGATACATGATTTATCTACTGTATAGATGTACTCTGTAACAGAACCAGAAAAAATACACTCAAATATCAGCTATTATACAGCTTAACATTCATCTTTTCCCTTGGTTGTTAGGAATATGATTCAGATAATGCAAAGCAGAGATTCTAATCTCAAATTTATAATTTTATATTTATAAATTATATTTATTTATATTTTATATTTATATATTATATATTTATATATATTATTTTACACTTATAAAAGTTGTGCTAAACCACTGTGGAAAAGTGACATCTAAGCTATAAAAATGTATTACTGATATTTCAGGCCTTCATGTGGGTTCACCAAAGAAAATAAGAAAGATAAAGAATGAAACTAAGAGGGAAGAAAAAATAATAATCTTAACAAGTGTGGGTAAATATTGTTTACAATATCAGTAAGTAGTCCTATACACTAGTTTTATTTGTTTATTTATTTACTTATTAATCTATTTATGTATTCTTGGGAAATATAAATAATTTTATGAAATAATCAGTTTCAACTATCTGATAAATTGGTAATGGTTATCAAAAATTAAGAGGAATATATGAAATAGAAAGCCATTGACTAGCATGATATTTATCTTCATGATTCCTTGGGATAAAATGCTTCAGAATATATTTTTCCTTTATCTTTATTTTTCATATGGGAAACACATATTCTGATAATGGAACTACTTCCATGCATTTTGAGAAATAGTTCATATTTCTTTAAGACACCAATGAGGAAATGTCTCTTATGTGTATTGGGACTGTCTGCCTTCCTCAATGATGCCAGAAATTTTAGTAAAAAGAAAAAGAGATGTTTTGTGAGAATATATCAAGTGAAAATGAGAATGAGAACTGCTAATTGACTTTGAAAAGATGGCATATGAAAGACTGTTAATCACAATCTCCATATACTTTCTACAGAACATAACTTATATAAAGAAAGTGAGAACTGACTATTCTTGGAATTAAATTAGGATATTTAAAATTCATATGAATTGTAATAAAGCAGAAGAAAATGTTTACTTGATCCATAATTATTCTTACTGTGCAAATTCTGAATCTTTTCATAAAAAATGGAAGAAAATATTTTGTAAAATATTCAAGCTAAATAAAGTATGAGAATATAGTTATTATTGCTGTAATGTACATTATTAAAATGCCTACTCAACAAAATAGAACATCAGTTTTGTATTTTTATTTCAATAATGAAAGATATTTTTCTATTTTATCAAAATTAACTATCATGAAAAGTTGACATTTAATAACAAAACATATGTCCAGAAGAAATCCTTTCAGGAAAAAGTCTTGCAAATCATCACTAAATATTTGATATTTATATTTAAATATAAATATTGATATATTCAAAAAACAGATGTCCACGTGGACTTTTTTTTTCTTTTGCCCAGAATAGAATGTATTATTTAAAGTTGTTCTAAATCAACAAATATTACTAGCTTAACTATTTTCACCTAAAAAAGTATTTTGATCTACTGTTTGGGAAAAGATCTCTATTAGAAACGAAAACATTTTCCTCTCTATAGGAAGGTATTTTAATTAAGTGATATTTGTGATCATGTTCCTAATTCTGCTCTTAGAGTTGCAGTGTGTAAAAAACAAGAGTCCCGATTTCTAATTTTCTTCCTCTGGTAGAGGCTATGCTTAAAAAAAGATAGTACAATTTTATCTTCTCATTGATTTGGGGGTGAAAAAAGAATTAGTCATAGAGGAGGGCCCTGTAGCTTTCTAATAGAGTAACCACTTGAATAAATCTGTTTAATACCACATTTAAAATTATTGCACATATTTGCTATGAGTTTTTAATTAAAATATTCATGAATATTTGATCTTAATCTTTCTTAGTTGTTTGTCTTTAGGTTGATCTAGGAATAAGAGATAATACTTACGTATGGACCCGCGTCATGCCTTTATTTGAAGTCCAAAACTTAATAGTTTTTCTATGATTTTTTTCCTGTCTCTATATATGAGACATCCAATGTAGCTTTATTTCAGTGTTTTTATATATCATATATTATATTATAATGAAATACATTACAAAACAGACCTTAAGCCAGAAAAAATATTCAAAATCTAAGAATCAATATATTCCAGAAGTGTATTTGTTTCAAGATTTATTCCATAAATTGAGGAGGTTATTTTAGAAATTTGAAAATAATAAATTTGCTATCATTGTCAAACAGAAAAAGCATGAAGATGAATTACAGCATTGATAATAGTCTTGACCTGATAAAATGAAATAACTGGGAAATGTACATTGAAGATTTTAACAGAATATTTTCCCTATAGGGAGAAAATATAATCACTTGGTCTATCATAAAATATCCTATTAACTGCATGAAATATACCATCTGGTCTTATGTTTCTGTTAATAATGTTATTCACTAAATAATTCTTTGCGGCAAAAGCAATTTTTAAAATTCATTTCCCTTTTTACATCATCAGTAATGTACTTGCATAAACACAGGTGCTTTTATATGATCTCTTTGTAAAACAACTGATTTTATTTTATAAAAGTTTTTATACATGCATATCTATGCATCAATAATACTCAAAAAAGCCAGAAGTAGCACTCTGGCTCAAGTAGTAGTTTGCTAGCTTTGAGCAAAAAGAGGCTCAGGAACAGTGCCCAGGGTGAATTAAAGACCTACAACTGATAATAAATAAATAAATGTACAAGAGTAAACAAGGAAGAGGTATGAGATCAAAACCTGTGTTAGATCAATAATGTAGTACCATATAAACTACAGCTAGATATTTAGATGTTGTTATTATTATTTTTTCTGGATCGTGGGGTCTGAACTCTGGGCCTGGGCACTGTTCCTCCTCAGCTCTGCAGCTCAAGGCGAGTGCATTTAGATGTTATTTTAAGTGGGGAGTTCTAGATTTCGGCTAACAGAGGAGTATGAGTTGGTTAAGCTTTTCAAAACCACTGAACAGGATGGTTCACATTTGTTGTAGAATCAAATTAATGGCCACTTTGTCTGGGGCTGTATGGAGAAGTTAAGGAAAGAGTTTGGCATGGATTGTATTCTGGAGTAGTAAGATGCACTGACTTTCTGAAAGACTAGAATTACAGAACAAACCATGAAAAGATGAGTCCTACAGAGCTGAAAGCGAGGCAGAAGCAGCAGTTGGAATCACTGCGCGATTGGTAAGCACCAGCAACATCCCATCCACTCATAGAAAACCAGCAAGGAAGCACGCACTGATTGCTCAGCTTTCTTGGCCAGGTTTATTGGATGATCTATTTCAAAATAAAATGTATAATTCTATATTATAGAAGTCATATATAAAATGACATGTAGAAAATTCTGAGGTTTTTATATTTTTAAAGCTGGAAGTGTCCAAGTTCACTTATTATAAAATATCTCCCCAAATAACATTTTAGATTTTCCAAGTTACTGAATCACATATCACCATGATAAAACTATGGATGACAATATTCAAAATACGACATTTAACTCTTACAGGTGTATAAACTGAGAAAAGAATGACAATGATATTAGTCATTTCTTTGTTTATATTATGAATCATCCTTAATACTTCTCATTTTCCATCCTGTATCAACCACGATGAGAAATATTAAAACATTTTTAAAAATAAAGAATTTTAAGACAGGCATATTAGCCAGTAATCCTAGCTACTCAGAAGACTGAAATCTGAGGATCAAGTTTTGAAGCCAGCCAGGCCAGAAAAGTCCCTGTGAGACTTATCTTCAATTAATCACTCAAAAACCACAAGGGGCACTGTGGCTCAAGTGGTTGAGCACTATCCTTGAGCAAAGGAGCTCAGGGACAGTGCCCAGGCCTGAGTTCCTGAGTTCCTGAGTTCAAGCCCTACAACAGACAAAAAAATAAATTAAAAAAAAAATTTTTTTAAATGGATCGTAAATATTCAGTCTAGGAAATCTTTTTTACTCTTTGTAGTCAGAACTGAAAATTCTCATCTGTGATTGGTTCCTATTCAATTTTTAATATTGAATTTAACATCTTACATATATAGGTTGTAACCATGTCTGTGTTTAGTGGGTGTTTAGTTCTCAATAACTACTAGGCAGTCTAAGTGATATTCAACACCACATGATTATAAACACGACACCAAGCACATGGCACTCACTTGATAAATGTGCTGGACAAATGAATGACTGAATTATATGGTTATTAAGAATGCAGCTGTCTGATTTAATTGACACTTACATGATTATACAGTTTTATGCACAAGCACACACAAGTTCAAATACTTTCAAAGAGTCATACCTCCCAGAGTAGCAGATAGCAAGAAATGAGTCCCATATTTCTTGATAAGGTTTTCTGTGATTTGCTGAAGGGTGGGTCGACGTCCCAAAAGTCGTATGTTGCGGAAGAATTCAGGGGCAAGAGGCAGAGGAGAGCCAAGGAAATTTCTTCTCTCAACTGCAAGGTTATTTACTTTCCAGCGGCCAAACTCCCTGAAAAGCAAATTTATTTTTATTCATAAGTGAATCATCTATCTGAATGTTTTTCATTTGAAAAGTTCACTTGGTAGTTTACTAAGGTCACTACATTACAATGACTCTAGCTTGTAATAAGATGTCATGTGCTATGAAAAGGAGAAGAAGTAATACTGGTAATTTATTTAACTGCAGTGAATCCTCAAGTCCAAGTCACATAGAACAAAAAATAAGGCACTGAAAGTGAACAGCATCCACTAACATATTTTCCCCAGGGAATGATGTATCTACAAAAAAATCACATTATGCATTGAATGTGAATGTATTCTTACTTAAAAAATGAGAGAGAAAAATCTAAGGTAACATTTTCTATAAGAAGCTGAAACTAAAAAGAAGAAAAAAGCAAATAACGACAACAAAAGCTAATTTTTCCATCATTCCAAAAGTCTTTCCTTTTTTTTCTCTTTGAAGTAAGAACTTGTAAGTCCTTGGTGGGGGATATACAGACATGTAGAAAATCTTAGTAACAACAACAGAAGATAAGTTGCAACTTGGCTTCTTTTGGTTGAATCATTGCTTATAATACTCTGCAGCCCAAGTACAGTCTGAAACCCAAATTCTAGTTGATTAGCAATTTCTCAGCATGCAACATAATGTTCAAAGAATAATGTTCTTTGAACGTTATGTTCCTTTTCTCTCCAAGTAGAGAAAAGACCAATACAGTTATTAAAAAAACAGCATTAAAAAAGCAATTCATATATTTCCATTGGGTTATAATTAACTTCATGCTTTAGAGAGGAACTCTTGTATAGTGGATCACCTGATATTAACCACTCAAGTATTTTCTGAAGAAGAACTCTGACAAAAGGATAAATAACTGGGCCTAATAATAATACCTTTTATGGTTTTAACTCTATTAAGCAAAATATATTAATTTTTTGGCAGTAGTAAAACTTGACCTCAGAGACATCTTCTTGCTAAGAAGGCTCTGCCATTTGAGCCTCCCTGTAAGCCCCACCAGTGTTCTGATTGAATATTTTATGCATATTTCTCATATTATTTATATACATTCTCCAAAATGCTTTCAGTATGCTAGACCATGCCTAGTTAGGAATACATTTATGAATGCAATCCCTTCCTATGGTCTCCAAAAGAAGTGTACCTTCTAGAAAAGCATTAAAAATAAAACAAATAAAAATAAATATATAACTTATTTTTAAAAAAACACCAGTATGTAATAAGTTCTGAAAATGAGAGGCAACAAAGCTATGAGCAGAGTTAGATCTATTTTGTATTAAATTTCCAGAGAGGGTAACAGTCAAAAGGCAACATGTGGATAATATTTACAGAAAAATGCTGCTAAATGTTAAATAGGAAACAGATTTACAAATTCTCAGGGAAAGGGAGAGTGTGGATAGATCTATCTGGACTGAGAGGTAAGGCCTGGCACTCCAAGGACAAATATTCTGCACAAGTGACACACATTGTGAGTTTTAACGAGCTTTCTTTTAAAAACTAATTGTAAAGTTAGAGTCACTGTGGAATCTAGGAAAGACTTTTGTTCCAAACATCAAGTAATTTACTGCTTTCTCCAGTGAGACGACTGTACTGTCTCTTCTATGTGTAATCTAAATATTTTATTAGTCTGATTCTCTCAATTGCTCTAAAATAGCTGTATGTATTAGAATCACCTGGAAATTCTTCTGTTGTGCTTCTGACTTATTAGATCTCAAGTGAAAACAGCAGTGTGCATATTTATTAAATCAATTGGTAGCATCTATTAATCATTCAAAATAATGGGCTTCATTGTGACATTTTCATAGAGCTATACAATATACTTCAATCATATTAGACTATCTCTCTCCATTCTCCTCTCCTCTCCTCTCCCACTTCTCATTCTAAGGCAGGATGGAGAGACTGGGGAATTACATTATTTGCAGAAAATATCAAAAGAACCAGATACAGGAATTGAAACCAGGAAGCAGACAGAGAAGAGCAATTTAGGATCGACTGCCAGCACTTTCAGAGGTGAAAAAAAAAAAAAAACAAAAAACAAAAAACAGTAGATATAAGGGGCATCTGCCCTCTTCTTTGAGATGATAAGTAACTGTAAGGCTTCTTGTGACAGAAAACTGAAAGGGGTGACCAAAGGAAGTCCAAACACTCACCTATTGTCCTAATATTCTAGGTAGAGTAAATATGTCTATATTTTGGAATGGCATGACCACCTGTATTGCCCCATCTCAGAAAGAATAAAGTGAGCAGATAACAGCTGCCCATTTCAAGTCTTTACCTCCCAATTCCTTCATGGAGAGAAAGTAATGTTTCTCATTTCCATTGCTCACTATTCTGTTCTACTAAAATAAATTCCTGCTAAACCTCCAATCTTGTGAGACTCTCCTTTGTGTGAGATGCCCTGAAATGCTTTTCATGTGTGGATCTCAAGGACCTGTAATCCGCTATAGAAACTGGGATGCTGAGGATAAGATGGCACTTCCTCTTTCCAAGGGCTACCCTGGTCACTTTCATGTTATTTAGTTCTTATATAAGATTCTGCATAGGAGAGAAAATATGAGATGTTTGTCTTTCTGAGTCTGGCTTAATTTGCTTAACAAGATGATCTTCAATTCCATCATTTAAAGCAAATGACATTTTATTCTCTTTTTGCTCCAAATTAGAAACTTTTAATATAAATGCAAATGCTGCTCTTCTAAGGACCACAGTTAAAGAAACTACTGATCTAGATGGAATATTGTCCTTAATATCTATTCCAAGGTGCTATTTCATTACATGCAGGAATTTTGGAAACTAGATTTATTTTAATGATTTTTCAACAGAAAGTATTACTTTGTTAATTTTTCTAAAATTGGATTGATGTCAGAAATTTTGTGGTATGTTATCACTTTTTAAAATAAATTTGTCTGAACATTATAGATGTGTTGTAAGTAAATGTGTATTTGGAAATATATATTCAAGTATTGTAAAAAATAACATTGAAAATAAAGTTAGGTTTTGTTATTTGGCAGTATCACCATGTATATAGGACTGTATCAAATTTAAAAAGCTATTAATAGAGTCATTGAGTAATAGCTGCTTACTAAATATCTTTGAATGATGGTTGCTCATTAATGCAAAACCTATAGGCTTATCCTCAGATATTGTTTAATTTATTTTATTTTCCAGATAAATATAATTTTATCTAGTGAAAGTGATATTTCCTTGACTCTAAAGTTCTTACTTAAGATAACATTCTTTTAGAAGAACAAAATTCAAGGTTTCCTCAATTATAAATAATAAATATATTAATACAAACTCCTGATCTGTTCTCTGATGCAATTACTTTCCTTTATTTTAATATTCTTAAATTTGACAAAGAAAAATCAGAAATAACACAAAAGTGCTAAAAAGGAATTGCATAACTGATCAGTTCAGTTTTTAACAGAGTTTGTGTAGTCAGCTTTTTCAAAAACTGTTTCTTCTAATTATTATCCACTGATATTTTGTCTATGCTACTATTTTTGTTGTTGGTGGTGGTCATAGGGCTTGAACTCTGGGCTTAGGCACTGTCCCTTCAGCTCAAGGCAAGCACTCTACCACTTGAGCCATAGTGCCACTTCCAGTTTTCTAGTGGTTTCTTGGACTTTCCTGCCTGGGCTAGCTTTGAACCATAATCCTCAGATCTCAGCCTCTTGAGTAGGTAGGATTACAGGCTTGAGCCACTGGCACCCAGCAGTCTATGCTACTTTAAAAAAAAAAACACAACAGACTTTTCCTCTCACTTACAATGAAGGAAATTCAAATCAAAACACCCCAAGATATCCTCTCATGTAAAAATGACTATTATAAATAAATGAGAACAAACACTGGTGAAAATGTGAAGAAAGAACATTTAGCAGACTGTGGAAAGAAAGTCAGTTAATGTTATTATTGTAGAAAACATTATAGACGTTCTCAAAAAATGAAAAATATAACTTCCATGAAACTGAGAAACTCACTCCTGGATATAGACTCAAGAAATGAAACCGTTATGTTTCCATCACTCTGCAGGATATATGCCTGCACTTCCATGTGCAATTCAGAGAAACTCACACAAGACCACCTAAATTTCCAGCTGATTAACAGAGAAAATACAAAAAGGAAAAAAATACAGCCTCTTCAACAAATGATGCTGGCAGAAGGGGCTTACACATGTGCAGAAAGTTGAAGTTGGATCCTTATATCTCGCTCTGCAATAGAATCACCTCCAAATGGATCAAAGACCTCAATGCAATACCAGCTACCCTGAAAATATTGCATGTAAGAATAGGGGAAATATTAGGGCTCCTTGGCACAGGTTGAAACTATCTTAATAAAGACCCAGAAACACAACAAATCAAAGTAAATGGGATTCCTTTAAACTTCAGAGCTTCTGCATGTCAACAGACATATCTAGCATGATAAATAGAAATCCCACAGATTGGGAGGTCTTCACTAGCCATATAACAGACAACCACCTCATATCTAATATATACTTAGAGCTCAAAAAATTAAACCCCTATGTAGGCAAGGCTGACCTTAAACACGAGGTTCTCTTGCTTTAGCCTTGCAAATCTAAAGCCAGACTGATAGTTATGAGAAGACCTGTCTAAAAAAAAATGGACTAAAGGAATAAACCAAAATTCTTATCAGTATATCCAATTCGATAGGAAATGTACTCATTACCTTACTCATGTAACCCCTCTGTACAATATCTATACAATAAATATATATTAAAAATAAATAAACATCCCCTCACCAAAGTGAAGAATAAAACACCAGAAGGTCTTTTGTGCACATTTTACACATTAAAGTGAATGTAGCATGAAAAAAAGCTTTGTATAGACATTCTATTTCTATTTCACAGTGATGAAATGTGATAGCTCCTCTTCCATCTACGTAGAAGTCAATCCTATCATTTTTTTAATATAATTTGTGGAAGGTAAAGTTTAGGCACTACCAGAATTCTAATTGGCTTCTTCAGGTCTAGTGATTTAAGTGGA